GCAGTCTTTAGGCCTCCGCCTCCCCTCTAGCCAAAACAGAGAACACCAGCAAGTCTCTGACAGCAGAGTTCACCCCAAGTCCATTGTGCCCAAATGGCACAGTGTGCTTCTGGGGCCAGCCTGGCCTCTTCAGGGCTTCATGGGCAGAACTTGTGTACACAGGTGCACATGCACAAACCTTGCACACTCCAGGTGAAATACCAACTCTGTGCTGGACCCATGCCCTCACCACTACCGCTCCTGGTTCCCATGGGGCTGGACAGAATGAGATGAGGTGGCCTAAGCCCAAGGCTCCAGATGGTGTTGAGCAGGCCCACGAGGTGCCCGCAGCCGCTGACCTGGACTGTCTGGTGCAGGTGGACAGCCACCACCTTCTTCATGCAATCTTTGATCATCTGGGAAGTGAAGAAGTTGGCCTCGCCCTTCTTGTCCACTGCAATCTTGCGGTAGTCCTCCAGTAGGATGGGGCAGATGGCCTGGGTAGGATGGGTCATGTAGATGGGTCCATCGTAGCCCACCATCTCACTGAAGTAGGGGAGCGCCCCACAGTGGTCCAGGTGGAAGTGGCTGTGGGGACAGCACCAGTGTGTCGGGGACCACTCCACAGTTAGCCCACACCAGCCCTGGGCTTGTGGTCTCTCCACTCACTCATGGAGGCCTCCTGTGCACCAGATACCATCCTGGGTACCGAACAATCAGACAAGAAAACCACCACCTTCCCAAACATGGTCAAAGGCCTAGCAAAGCAGCTGTAGGCAAATCAATAAAACATATATCAGACAGAAACATGTCACCGAAGAAACATAAGGCTCTGAAGGGATACTCCACTGGGGGGGGCAGCCACTGGCTCTGGCAGAGGTCAGAATCTTCCTTGAAAAGATGGAGGGAGCTAGGACAGTGGTAGGACCAGCCCAGGGAAGCTCTGGGGACAGAGGGCACACAGTGCCCAGCCCACACAGACGAGTCCAGAGGAACCAAGACCCCAGGAGCCCAGCAGTGAGGAACCTGCTTCCAGACTGGGCAGCAAGGGAACAGGAAAAGTCTGTCAGGACTGCAAGGGTTGAGAGGGCAGGACCCTGGGTGGGAAGAGGAAGAGAAATGTCTCTCCCCTCGCTCAGCCCTTGTGAGGTGGGGAGGTGACAGGTCAGTGGCCAGCAGGGCTTGGCATTCCTCAGGCAGTGGGGGCATTGGAGCATGGGTGTGTGTGACCAGAAATTAGGAGGAAGTGAGAGGGAGCTGTCACCAATGACATGCACAACCGAGAGGCCTCAAGAGTCAGAGGGGCCAGAAGCCACTTGGCATGGATGGGATGTCTGCCCTGGCTCTGCCTCAATTTCCCAGTCACTTGCCAGGCTCTGGTCCCTGCCCAGAATGGCCCTGACTCTCAGGGGCTGTCTCCCTGTGAGGAGTGAGGCATATAGGCAGCCTGGGGACAGAGACCTGTGACTCAGGCAGTGGGCAGTTTACCATGGTCCAGACCCACACCCACCTGATGATCACGCAGTCCAAGAAGTCAGTCAGCCGGCCATTCTGGGTGATGTAGGAAAAGTCGGGAAAACGCCTCTGAGGAGAACCAAGAGCAAGGTCAGAAAGCAGCTGCTGCCTCAAGCCTTCAGAGTACAGCAGAGCCAGCTGGTGTCCCGGGGCAACCACAGGAAGAGGGGTCAGTGTACCCCCAGCCTGGGGTACCATCTATACCACCATATTCAGTATCCTAAACACAGATAGGGAGGGTCTTGCTGCTGACTGAGGTCACTGCTGACCTCTCGAACTAGAATCTGAACATTGAGCCTAGCTTACGGACTCTTGTGGGAGCCAGGAGCTCGCTCAGTCCCAGCCCACCTGTCACACAGTGTAACACTCAGTTCATGGGTGCAGCTGCCCAGGGATGCCCACTACTACCCACTCCCCTCATCTGTCCTTTAGCCAAGGTCCAGGGACCCTGCTAAATGAACAGGTAGGTGATAGCCTCCCCATCCCCTGGACTATTGCTTGGAGGACTCACATCATCGTTGAAGCCCATGTGCATGCCACAGTCCAACATGACGTTCTTGCCCGCGATGGAGACCAAGATACAGCTGCGGCCCACATCCTGGCCAGCCCCTGCTCAAGCAGAGGTCAGGTCAGAGGCACAACCATGCACCCTCAAATTCCTCACAGGCTTCTCGAGGACTTCAGTGGAAGGAAACTGGACCTCGAGGGCACCATGTGCACAGATGTGTGGCAGGGAAGCAGTGCTACCTCCACTTGCAGGCAAGGGAAATACACAAGAGAGGACCACCAAGTTACCAGGCATGGTTACAACTCTGGCAGAGAACTAAGCACTGTCACTGCCCCCAGTACCAAGGAAGGCAAGCTGTGGCTCTGCAAGGCCTCAGTGGCACTCCCCCAAAGCTCAGTCAGGTCCTTCCTGGGTCCTCAGCTAAGCTGCAAACAGCTGAAACCTCAACCCACCCCCCTGGGCTTGGGAAAGGTCTGGAGACCAAGTTCTGGGGATGGGAAGCCCTTCACAGAGCCACAGCAGAGGGACACTCATATGGCCTCAGTCCAGCCACAAGGAGACATGGCTCTGGCTATCTAACAATAATTAATAACTGTGGCTGCAGCACAGATGTCTCGGCCTAGACAGTGGCTACAGGGGCCCCACACCATTGCACCCCCTTGAGCATCGCCAGCTCAGCCCCAAACAGAGTATCCTCCATTCTGCTGACAACCAGGTAGCCCCACAGGCAGCCCCAGGCCAAAGCCAGGTGGGGCAAACCCATTCTCCCAGGTGGCCATCTGCCACTTCCCCTAGCTTCTGGGGGCCACAAGGAAAGGGATAGGACCTGATCCTCACCAGGGCTCTGAGAACAGCAAAGGGCCTGGCTTCCATTATTAATCCAATCGAACTCCCTCTGCCAGACACGTGAACCATTCAGCCATCACCACCACACATGGCACAGTAGTCTGGCCAAGCCTTCAGACAGTCAGCCAGTGGAAGAGACTTAGGATCTTTCTTTATTCTTAGATGTACTGGGGATTGAACCCAGGAACTCGCTTATGTTAAGCAAGCATCTATCACTGAGCCACATCTCCATCCCTTTAGGTTTGTTTTTTTTTTTTCCATCCCTTTAGGGGTTGTTTTGTTTTTGGGTACCAGGGATTGAACACAGGTCCTTGTGCTTAGAAGGCAGGTGGTGGAACCACTGAGATACATCCCTGCCCCACTTTAGTTTTTGAAACAGGGTCTCATTAAGTTGCCCAGCTGGCCTCGAACTTGCAATCCTCTGGCTTCAGCCTTGCAAATGACCAGATTATAGGTATGCCAGAAATGTGCCTCTGCACGCAGTAAGTGTGGGTTCCTTTGCAGGCCTGTTCCCGCTGCCCCAAACTGTGAGCTCCTGAGGGCAGAGTGCCCACTGTACCTCCAGCCCTGAAGCTATGCCAGGGGGCCTACCACCCCCCTTCACAGATAAGGACCTGAGGTAAAGGAGTCATCCATGGGCACACAATCAACAAGTGTGGGGCCAGATTCCAAGGCCCAGTGCCGCGACACTGGCTGTCCTTCCTCCAGTGGGACCCACAATAACTTCAGAGCAATAACAGTGGCCAGCACTGGGTAGAGCAGTGGGGAAATAAGCTCAGCCCAACACATGAAGGGAGATAGCACTCAGAAGAAGGCAAAGGAAGAAATATCCCTGCCCACGTAGGGCTTACATCCTAGGGGGCAATGAGACAGCCTGAGTACATCAGGTGGCGATCACCATGGTGGAGAAAAGTAAGACAGGAAAGGAGACAAGGTGCCCAGAAACTTCAGAACCATGGCAGAAAGGACCCAGGAAAAGATGACTTCCCAGGAGGTGGTTAGCAGGTAGCCAGGATAGGGGGAATGGCTATACAAAGGCCCTGTGGTGAAGTGACCTGGGGAGACTCAGTATGTGGCCAGGTGATCTGAAGTCCTGAGCAGGACACCTGCACAGAACAAGGAAGTGTTTCTGACATCCTGTCTAGCAAGGAAGCAAGTTCCAGAGCAACACACAGCACAAGTGCACAAAGAAAGCCCAGAGACATCCAGGGTGATCCTGGGACCCTGTACTTCAATGCACTATTTCCTCTTCCACAATGTTCTATTCTACTAGAGGCTGCAGTTATGATTTTTGCAAAAAGCATAGAAAAAAATTTTTTTCCTTCAGTCCTAGGGACTGAATCCAGGGACTCATGCATGCTAGACAAGTGTTCTGCTATATCCCTAGCCCTTTTTTCATTTTGATACAAGGTCTCATCAAGTTGCCTTGGCTGGGCTAGAACTTGTAATCCTCCTGCCTCAGCCTCCCAGAGTTGTGGGATTACCAGCACGTGCCACCACTCCCCCGCCCCACTTTTTTTTTTTTTTTTTTTTGAATGTTGCAGACCAGGTACCACCAGGGTCAAACTGAGTATTGGTTGCAGATGATGGAGGTGGAGTGAACCAGCGGGTCCTGACGCTGCAGTGAATGCGCAGTGAGAAGTGGACACGGGCAGGATGGAGTTGGCGCCTCTGTCTGTTTGGTGCACCCACTCGGGACCCACTCTACCTCGCGGCCACCTGAGCCTCCTCACACAAGCCCTGGGCCAGGATCCGACCCCGCTCCGACCAGCTCCTCGCCGGGCCAGAAACCAGGAAAGACACCTCCGCTCCTCCCTCGAGGCGCTGGGTGTCGGGGAAGGGGTGTCTCGCAGGGCTCGCGGGCCACAAACATCTTACCCAAAGGGGTGACTTTGATTTCAGGCATCTCCGGGGCGGCACTGTGTGTTCCCTGGTCCGCCGCGCTCCTCCGGCAGGGAAGGAGAGGGACGACCGACCGCGACAAAAACCTGCGACCAGCCACTACACACCACGACACCCCAAAGCCTGCGGACCTCGCTACACTGCTCGGATACAACCGCTGGGTCGCCGGCTTCCGGCCCGCTAGCCGGAAATGCTGGTGGGTTTATCGGTTCCTGATTGGGTGATCCGTGACCAATTATGGCTGTGGGGTGGGGCCAGACCCGGGCGGTGGCAGACTTCTAGCGGGCGGCTGGTAGGTTGCTGCAGACGCGTAACTAGCAGGGTAGATCGCTAGCCAGGCGTTCTGAGCTCTGAGCTGCGGCCGCCCCTTCCCTTCCGCCCAACTCCGCTGCGCCCGGCGCCCCAGGCCAGACAACGACCGGGTGTGCCCGGCCCAGGTGAGACTTGCGGTTCCCCGGAACAGCGCCCGGCGATCGTCCCCGCGGAGGCTCAGAGGTGCCCGTCGGCTGCCCTTCCTGCACCCGGCGATGCATTCTGTTGGCTTCAGGCTTGGGTCTTGGGCAGGAAGCCGGGCCGACAGGATCCTCGGGGGCTGAGAAGGGACCCCAGGGGCTCAGAGGCCATCTACTCGGTGGACATGGCACCCCGAGAGGGCGAGGCGCGCTAGAGACTCCGGGACCGGAAGCCCCGGGCCCCAGACCACCTTGAAATGAAAGATTGAGCCACAAACCGGGCGCGGTGGCACACGCCTGTAATCCCAGCACTCGGGAGGCTGAGGCAGGAGTATCGCTGTGAGTTCGAGACCAGCCTGGGCTACATAGTGAGTTCCGGGTCAGTCTCAACTACATAGTGAGACTCTGTCTCAAAAAACCAAAATAAATAAAGACTGAGCCACAGCGTGCTGCTGTGAGTATCTAGGGGCCCAGGTGTCTTGCACCTGTCTGGAGCTCTCTGCACAGATGAGGTGCTAGGGGCCCTGCAAGTGAGAGGTCAGGGCAAGGCTCCCAGGGCAGTGGGGTGAGGTTCAGCCTAGTTCTGAAGCTTGTCAGACCTGCCTGACAGGGTCTGCCCTGAGCACCTGGGAAGGTGGGAGCTGGGGTGTTTGCAGGCACTCAATGTGTGGACGCTGAGAAGTGGGGTGATTGTAAGAATGCAAGAGTACTCAAAGCCTCAGTCTTGGGCCATTTTCAGAATATTCCATGCAGGTAGGAGGCCTGTGGCAGCCTCCTGAGCATGGTGCCTTTGACCTAGCCACCCTGTGTGCGATGTGTACGCTGAAGATTGGTGCCTTTCCGTCCAGCAAATCCACCCACCACCTCTGCTCTGGCTCCAGAGGTACAGCTGCAAACAAGGAGGAGACCCACCCAGCCACCCTCCCCATGTGCTCACCTGCCATGACCACAGTATTTATCTTCTAACCTGCTTGTCAGAATTATTTACTATCTCAGAGGCCCTGGTTTTGAGTCTGATACCCCCCCCCATTAAAATGTTGCCCTGAGAGCACAGATATCTAGATGCAGCCCTATCCTGTTTCAGCCTCTCTGCAACATTTCTCCAATGCCTGAAAACAGATAGGGGCCCCAGGAAGAGAATCAGAAGACAAATAAGAAGCCTCAGCAGGGAGGCCTACTGCAAATGGGATGGAGCATGGTGGTCCCCTGCAGGGACTGCCCTGAGTTAGTGACTTGCATGACAAGCAGGGACCATGCCCCGGTCTGGGCAATGGGCACAACATGGTTGCCCTAGCATGTCCAAGTATGGCTCCTGTCAAGGGAGTCCTGGGTAAGGGGACAGGGAGGGCTTCACCATGGGATTTCAGAGGACAGTTTCAGGACTCTGACTCTCTTTCAATGCCTTTTCCACCCCACCCTCCCCCAAGATGGGCAGGAAATGAGCCCTGGAGTGAGCTGACCAGTAAAACAGCCCAGAAGTTCTGCATAAAATTGTGTTTCAGTTCATGTTGGAAAATGGATGGTTCAGAGGCAGATTTCAACCTGAAAGTCGTCCTGGTCAGTTTTAAGCAGTGTCTCAACGAGAAGGAGGAGGTTCTGCTGGACCACTACATCACCAGCTGGAAGGGGCTGGTCAGGTGTGTGCAGAGGGGGCTGGCTGCCTTCCTATAGGGGGCCATGCCAGAAGTGGTGAGTGGTGGTACCCCTTGCCAGCATGCATAGGTAGTGTCTGCTTCCTGCTTGGCACTGGGCAAGAGCAGTGTCATGGTGGGCTGTTCTCAGTTGTCCTGTCCTCCAGGTAGAAATGTCCCCAGCAGTTCAAGACAGATGATGTCCCCTGTGCAGCTGTATGGGGCCTCAAGCTCTTTTTTTCCCACACAGGTTTCTGAACAGCCTGGGCACGGTCTTCTCATTCATTTCCAAGGATGTAGTCTCAAAGCTGCACATCATGGAGCGACTGAGGAGCAGCCCTCAGTGTGAGCACTACATGAGCCTGCAGTCCATGGTGGCCTATGAGATGGGAAATGGGCTGGTAGACCTGGATCGCCGCTCCCGCCACCCTGACTCAGGCTGCCGAACCACACTGCGACTACACCGGGCTCTACACTGGCTGCAGCTGTTCCTGGAAGGCTTGCACACCAGCCCTGAAGATGCACAAACCTCCACACTCTGTGCCAACTCCTACCATGCCTCACTGGCTGCTTACCACCCGTGGATTGTGCGCCAAGCTGTCACAGTGGCCTTCTGTGCCCTGCCCTCACGCAAGGCCCTTCTCGAAGCCATGAACATGGGGTCCCCTGAGGAGGCTGTGGAGATGCTAAGCGAGGCCCTGCCCTTCATCAAGCAAGTGTACGACATCTCCCAGAGGCTCTATGCGGAGCACTCCTTGCTGAACCTGCCCTAGCGGCCAGCACCCAGGGTTGATGGCTCCCTACACTGCAGGGTTGGGCAGGCCAAGGCCTGCACTCTACACACAGCTTTTTGGGTGCCACTGTCACTCCTGTGAGCTGAGCTTGCTGAAAGCTGTGGACAAACAGGAAATGCAGGCTTATGCCCCTCTGAGCCATAGCCAACCCCTCAGCCTCAGTTACACACGCTCAGTTCAGGCCACTCTGAGGTACAGACAATAGATCAGGCAGGACACTTCCTTGTGAGTACAGCAGCTAGAGGGCTCATCCCATCTGTGTGTGTGAAATGTATACGGTCACAGGTGCCTTGGGCACAGAGGCTCTGTCTTCCTCTAGCTGAGTGTTTAGTTTCCCATGCCTGTCACAGGGCCAGGACACAAAGGACACAGTGTCTATACCAGGCAGACAGCCTCAGTCCCCCCCATACCCTGGCTGGAGCCTAGGTGTAGGTCTGAACATGGTGGGCTTTCTTCTTGCCCTTCACCTCCTCACTGACCTCATGCAGAGCAAGCTAGCAGCTTTCTGTCCAAGGCCCCTAGAAAGTCCTGGGAAGGCCTCCAGAGCCCCTGCAGGCATCAGCTCCTAAAGGGCTTGTTACAAGGCACTTCCACTTAGCCTGAGGTCCTGGCAGCCCAACACCACTTGATGGAGACAGGCCTCCTCCTCCACAGCTGCACCCCACAAGATGCCATATTTCTTCCCCTGCGCTGCTGCCCCATCCCCGTGTGGTCAGGACATCCTGATGGTGCATGGTATGGGAAAGGGGCCAGCCCTTGCTACCCAACAGCCAGCACCCAGCCGGTGGGGACCTGGCCTCTCCAACTGGACCAGGACAGTGTCTACAGGGAAGCAGATGCATCAGTGCTTGCAAGACTTGCCTGGTCCCTAATGTATGTGGTAATTCTCAGCATAATAAAATTACACTTATGGGACTGGGTGTGGCATTCCAGGGTGGGTCCTGGGGTCCACCAGGTCCCTGATGACTTGGAAGACTCAGCAAAGGACCCCAAGCACAGAGCTAAAGCATGCACTCCCTGACCCCAAGGGCTCACAGGGCAGTGTCAGTCATGGCGACACAAGACCAGCCCAGGACAGCAGGCAGGGTCAGGAGGAGGTGCTGTTTTATTCCCATTCCTGGAGGTCATTAGCTTAGTCATGCACCCCCTACTTTTTCAGGTCAGTAAACAGACTTGCCCAAGGTCACTCCCAGGGACCTGGGTCAAAAGGGGGAGGCCTGAGGCCAGCCACACACTGCAGGGGGAGAGGCCCAGAAGACGACACCACTAGCTGGAGAGGTGGAGGCCGCACCAAGGTTGACCTTAGGCTCTGTCCACCCACATGGGGCTGGCAGTGAGGGAGTGGCTGAGTGGACACTTGAGTCCACAAGGGCCAGGGAGCAAGGCTGCAAGTGCAGCTCAGGATGTGCTGTGCATGGGTTTGTGGCGTGTGCACCTTATGGGGCCCTCAGAATGGCAGGGAAGAGGTGAACATCCCATGGGCCCCAGCTGTAGCCCACCCCCACTCAGCAGAGCCAAAAGCCCCTGCCACTTCCATCTGTGTAGTCCCCTGCTGTGTCCACTGGGTCTCTCCCAGAACCAGAACCTAGCAGGGAGCAACCACAGTCCACCCTCCCAACACAGGCACACACCTGGTGCTAGTAGCTGGAGCCCATTTGATTACAGCCCTTCCTCCCTCATTTTCATGGCCCCCCACTTTGGGTCCAGCTGCAAGCTGCCCCAGCCGGTGGAGGCACCTGCACACTAGCCAGGGGATGGCCTGTGCCAGGGCTACAGAATGAGCACAGCCAGCTACATGGTGTCTGTAGCTTCTGGGAATTGGCAGCCTGGCAGTGGAATAGCTATAGTAGGACCCTTGGCAGGTCTACACCACTTGAGACAGCCTAGAGGGATTACCTGTAGTTCTCCAACTGTGGACTTGAAGGATTGGGAACCAGAAACCTCCCAGGTATTTCTGTGCCCAGGAAAAGCCCCATAGGGCCCTGGTACCTCCTAATCCCTGACACAGCTGAGACCCTAGGGCCCTGGATGCCCACAGGATGCCAGCTGCTCCAGGAAAAGGGCTGCCATGGGGTTTGGCAAGGGTAGAAGCCAAGGCCACAATCAGTTGCCATTCTCAGCTTGCATTCCAGGTCACTGTTGGCCAGAGAGCTTAGTGGGCATGTTAGGATGTCTGACAAGTAAGGCACAGTGGCACAAATTAGCAGTCCCAGTATTTGAGAGGTTAAAGCAGAAGGGTCACAAGTTCAAGGTCAGCCTAGAAAACTTAGACCCTGTCACAAAATATAAAGGGTTGGGGATATATGCAGCTCAGTGCAAAGTCCCTGGGTTCAGTGCCTAGTACTCAAAAGCAAGTCTTGGACTGGGGATTTAGCTCAGTGGTACCACACCTGCCTGGCACACATAAGGTCCCGAGTTCAATTCCCAGTACCAGGAAAAAAAAAAAAATCCTATGTGTCCAAACCTTTAGGGCTCAGGATGTTGAAGACAAAGCCAGGGCCTCTCGGGTTTGGCAGGTGAGCAAGGCACTGGTTTTGCTAAACAAATCCTTTGCCCCTCCCTTTGGACTCACTACATATCTGGAGCTCCTGCCTGACATACTTTCTTGCTCTCCCTGCTTGAAGCTGCCACCTGCCATGCCAGGACTGGCTGTCCTGGGCCTCAGCCTCATGGCTCTCCTGGGCCTTGGGTCAGGGGCCTTGTGCCTGTCACGGCAACTCAGGATGCGAGGGGACTACATCCTGGGAGGGCTCTTCCCCCTGGGCTTGGCAGAGGAGACTGAACTGCAGCACAGGATGCGGCCCGACAGCATCACGTGCTCCAGGTACTACGGAGGTGGGCAGCCAGGGCAGGGGAGGTGAGCGGGCTGTATTCCCAGTCAGTGCTCCCAAGCCTGGGATGAGATAGCAACCACCCGTGTCCCTTTGTGGCCTCAGGTTCTCCACTATTGGCCTGTTCTTGGTGATGGCTTTGAAGATGGCCGTGGAGGAAATCAACAACAGTTCCACCCTACTGCCTGGGCTGCAGTTGGGCTATGACCTCTTTGACACGTGCTCAGAGCCTGTGGTCACCATGAAGCCCAGTCTCATGTTCCTGGCCAAGGTGGACAGCTGCAGCATTGCCGCCTACTGCAACTACACACAGTACCAGCCCCGCGTGCTTGCTGTCATTGGGCCCCACTCCTCAGAGCTCGCCCTCATCACGGGAAAGTTCTTTGGCTTCTTCCTCATGCCACAGGTGGGCCCACCATTCCTTGTGTCCCCCTGCCACTCCTGCCTGCATGAGCCCCCACATCAGGAGGTACCTCTGGGCCGCTGCAGGTCAGCTATGGCGCCAGCATGGACAGGCTGAGCAACCGGGAGACGTTTCCATCCTTCTTCCGCACGGTGCCCAGCGACCGAGTCCAACTGGAAGCCATGGTGACACTGCTGCAGTATTTTGGCTGGAACTGGGTGGCTGCCCTGGGTAGCGATGATGAGTATGGTAGAGAGGGTCTGAGCACCTTCTCAAACCTGGCCCATGCGCGGAACATCTGCATTGCGCATGAGAGCCTTGTGCTGCTGCCCCAAGCCGACAGCCTGCGACTGGGCAAGGTGCAGGACGTGCTACACCAGGTGAACCAGAGCCAGGTGAAGGTGGTGGTGCTGTTTGCCTCAGCCCGTGCCGTCCACTCCCTATTCCAGTATAGCATCCACCACAGCCTCACGCCCAAGGTGTGGGTGGGCAGTGAGGCCTGGCTGACCTCAGATCTGGTCATGACGTTGCCTGGCATCCATCGGGTGGGCACTATTCTGGGGTTTCTACAGCAAGGCGCCCGGCTGCCTGAGTTCTCCCATTACGTGGAGAACCACCTAGCCTTGGCTGCCAACCCAGCCTTCTGTGCCTCACTGGATGCTGAGCAGGACCTGGAGGAGGATGTGGTAGGACCGCGCTGCCCGCAGTGTGACCAAATCACGTTACAGAACCTGTCAACTGGGTTGGTGCAGAACCTGTCAGCTGGGCAGCTGCACCACCAGATCTTTGCCACCTATGCGGCCGTGTACACTGTGGCCCAGGCCCTCCACCACACACTGCAATGTAGCTCCTCCAGCTGCCCCACACAGGAGCCCGTGAGGCCCTGGCAGGTGAGCATGGGACCGGGGTTGCAGATCAGTGCCCAAGTTGGTCTTGTTGTTCAATAGCTTTAGGGTTAGTCCTGCCCCCAAACCCCCCACCCCACAGCTCCTGAACACTATGTACAACATGAGCTTCCGCGTTCGAGGCCTGGAGCTGCAGTTCAATGACACTGGAAATGTGGCTATGGAATATGACCTGAAGATGTGGGTGTGGCAGAGTCCAACACCCAAGTTGCACACTGTGGGGACCTTCAATGGCAGCCTCCAGATGCAGCCCACACACATGCACTGGCACACAGAAGACAACCAGGTAAATGAAACGCATGTGGTCCCAGCCACACAGAAGCCCACGCCAGGTATGACGCAGAGGCTTGGAATGTCTCTGGTCTGGGGGGCACCCAGCCCTGTGAGCCCAACTTGAGGTCCCCTGCCAGGTGCCAGTATCTCAGTGCTCCCAGGAGTGCCGTGAGGGTCAGGTGCGCCGGGTGAAGGGCTTCCACTCTTGCTGCTATGACTGTGTGGACTGCAAGGCAGGCAGCTACCGGCAGAACCCAGGTGAGTCATCTACTCGGCCAGTCTATACAGTTTGGGGTCGGAGTCCACCCAGTCCTGGCAGCAAGGCTGGCGAAGAAGCCAGAGACCATGGTGGGGTGCAGGGCTCCCCAGTACACCCTACACCAGCCCACAGAGCTCCTTCTCTCCTGCCTCCTGCAGATGACCTCACCTGTACCCAGTGTGACCAGGACCAGTGGTCCCCAGAGCGGAGCACACGCTGCTTTCCCCGCAGGCCCAGGTTCCTGGAGTGGGGAGACCCAGCTGTCCTGTTGCTGCTCTTGTTTCTGGGCCTCGTGCTGGGCCTGGTGCTGGCAGCTCTGGGGCTCTTCATCCGCCACAGGGACAGCCCACTGGTCCAGGCCTCAGGAGGGCCACTGGCCTGCTTTGGCCTGGCCTGCCTGGGCCTTGTCTGCCTCAGTGTCCTTCTGTTCCCTGGCTGGCCAGGGCCCACCAGCTGCCTCGCCCAGCAGCCTGCGGCTCACCTCCCACTCACTGGATGCCTGAGTACACTGTTCCTGCAAGCAGCCGAAACCTTCGTGGAGTCCGAACTGCCGCTTGCCTGGGCAGCCTGGCTGCGTGGTCACCTGCGGGGGCCCTGGGCCTGGCTGCTGGTACTGTTGTTGATCCTGGTAGAGGTGGCACTCTGTGCCTGGTCCCTCACGGTTTTCCCATCCAAGATGGTGATGGACTGGCGGGTGTTGCCGAGGGAGGTGCTGGTGCACTGCCACATGCACTCCTGGGTGGGCCTGGCCCTGGTGCATGTCACCAATGCCACACTGGCCTTTCTCTGCTTCCTGGGCACCTTTCTGGTGCAGAGCCAGCCTGGCCACTACAACCGTGCCCGTGCCCTCACCTTTGCCATGCTGGCCTATTTTGTCACCTGGGTCTCCTTCGTGCCCCTCCTGACCAATGTGCAGGTATTGTACCAGCCTGCTGTGCAGATGGGCGCCATCCTCCTCTGTGCCCTGGGAATACTGGCCATCTTTCACCTGCCCAAGTGCTACCTGCTGCTGTGGTGGCCAGAGCTCAATACACCCATGTTCTTTCTAGGCCAGGGCACTAGGGACAGCACAGACGGGGGCAGCAGTGGAGGCAGGGACAGTGCTCAGGGAGACCATGAATGACCCCTGACCCCAGGATCTCAACCCCATTGAATTAAGCCCCTGTAGATGCCTCAACCCACTAGACTGATAACCTCTTGTTTTATATTCTGACTCTAAGGGCCGGGGATTTGGCTCAATGATACCATGTCTGCCTCGCAAGCTAAAAGTCCTGAGTTCAATCCCAGTACTAGAAAAAAAAAAACTACCACAACAGATTCTGACTCCAAACTGACCTTAACCTGTGACCCCAGGACTGCAGTGTGGGAGAGGGGCCCACAGGGCCTGCTCCACTTCCCCAGAGGGGCTTCCCACTCAGGGCCCAGAGACATATCCTCAGTTTAGGAAAGCCCTGGCCAGATAAAAGGAGGCCAAATGGCCACCACTTGCCTCACTGAGCCTGAGGCAGGCCTGGAGCAGCCAGTGGGGGGGGGCAGCAGCCAGCGGCGGGGGGCAGCACCCAGCCTGGTTCAGATTAAGCTGCACCCACCCAGTGGGGGTGCTCCCTGCTCCACCAGTAGGTCCAACAGAGCACGGGCGGAGATGGGGGCAGAGGTGGGCATCAGCACCATGGCCAGCACCCACTAACAGGACCCCTGGCGCCAGCACCAAGGACAGAAAATGGCCAGCTAGCACCGGGGACAGCTGGGCGGCAGCACGGACTCATAGGACGGCGTGCTGGTCTGGGCCAATGGGGCCTCCCAACAGACGCGGATCAGCGTTGGACCAACCCCCACCACACCCAAGTCCCGAGACAACCTGCAGAGAAGAGGGACACAGGCCAAACACCAGTCCCATAAAATTAAATGTTCTTTAGTGTTTAAAATAGCATTTACACAGAAGCAGCTCTACTGAACTACCCAGATGCTCGGACTTTGACACAATATCTACAGAGCAGATGTTCAGATGCCAGGCATGCCAAGAAGGCAGTGTGCAGTGGGAAGATGGCCCAAGGACAGTGAGGACAGACCAGGCTGGCTCCTGTCTCTCCAAGACCCCTCTGCCTGCAGTGAGGCACTGTGCAGGGAGAGGGGCCCTCTGCCAGCTCCCCAGCCTCCACACTTCCCATCATGGCCTGCATTCCTCATGCTTGCTCTGAGTCCCAGAGCAGAGCAGGGACATGCAAACTGCCCCAGTTGGGCGGGGAGGGGACAACTAGACAGCCACCACCCTCATAGTAGGCAGGGCAGCAATAAATAAATAAGTTAGATCCCACCCTGAGTGACCAGAGGGGACTGGGGACGCCACTGCCCGGGTGAGACAGGCAGGGTCAATGTGCTGGGTGAGAGGGACTTCAGGCCAGTTCAGGTGAGGGCCTCTGCATAGCTCTGGTAGAGTGAGGGGCAACACCGAACCCATAAGAGTCACCTCCAAAGGAGAGGTCGGGGGCCCTAGAGTCCCATGTTGAATGGGCAGGTCAGACCTGCCTGAGAAGATGGTCCCCCCAAAGGAGCAGGGAGACAGCTGTTCATTGCCCAGGGACCCCAGGAGGAGGTGGCTGCCCTCGGCCTTGGCCTCTGTGCCCACTGCCTGCTGGGTCCAGCGCCCCAGGCAGGCCTGTCCCTAGCTGGCCACCACTAAGGCAACCCCACCAGCTCCCAGTGCAGCAGGATGGGATGCCCCGCCTTGGACGGGGCTGAAGGCACTGCCCACCAGTTACATGATGTCCACAAAGAACTCACAGGGGTTTCCCATGGCCTTCTGGAAGGACTGGCGACTGCCAGTCAGTTCTGGGGGGACAGCAGCCAACTCCCGGACAGGTGGCCCCCCCGGGGGCCCACCCACCACTGTGTAGGCCTTTGTCAGGGAGTGTAGTGGGGGAAGCCCAGGAGCAACAGCCGAGGCCTGGCTACGTGGGCTACTGCCCTGGCTAAGCTGGCTTACAGGACGCTCCCACCAGCCGGCACTACCCAACCCGCTGAGGGCCGCAGGGTCTGACTCACTGCCGCTGCCCCCAGCTCCAGCGGCCCGGCGCTCCTTCTCCCGGCCTGGGGCCCGGCGGCTGCTCCGGGTGGACCCACTGCTTTTGCTCCCTAGGAATGAGAATGGAGGGTGGGTCAGCCAGGCCTGGCCACCACCAGGGCCACTTCTGCCCCAAGCAGTTGGCGGGAAGGGACCAAGCAGGAGGGCAGCCATGCAGGCAGAAGGGCGGGTCTGGCCCCACCCCAGGAAGCAGGAACAGCCTAGGGGAAGGGGTGGAGCCACAGTGGGCAATAGGACACAGACTAGCTCAGAGCCCACACTTTACCCCAGTGCTTTAACTAAGGGCTGTGTTCCCAGCTGGGGAAATGAGGCCCTAGTAAAGCCCCTGAGTACCTGGCAGGCACTCCTGCCGGCCATCCTGGGCTCCCCACCCAGAGACCCACTGTCCACCCACCCCGGGGCCCTGGTCAGCTAATCGCTCGGCCCCTGTCCTGGGCTCCAGGAAGGAGTGGAAACCTGAGGACAGTGGCTGGCTAGGGACATGCCGAGAGGGACGCCGGGGGGGACCCTGGCTTACCGGCCCCGAGGGTCCACTCCGCTAGTCCTTCAGTCTAAGGCTTGCTCAGCACAAAGCAAGGGATAGCACGAGTTACACATGGGCCTGCCACCAGCTGGGCCTGGCAGCGGCCGGGTCAGGTTTGGGTGGGAGCAAATGCCTGTCCAGGATCCGAAGACTAACAGCTTCCCTGGGCATGGCCACCCCCAGCCCTCACCTCTCCTATGCCCTGGGCCAGTTGGCTGTACCTCTCTCCAGACCCTGCACACACAGCCATGGGCTTCCTGTCACCCCTTGGCCTAAGCTCCACTCCAACAAGGTCCTTCCATCTCTCTACAATTCCTTGTGGGCTGCATGGGCCCCAGGGATGGAGGCCAACCCCCATGTCCTGGGCCTGGAAAGTGATCCTGACCAATGCTCCTGACCATACCCCCTCTGGCCATACAGTCCCCACCACACCATTCCCTAGCTCTGGCCTCTGCCAAACCTGGACCACCAGCCCCACCAGGCACAAAGGTAAAGCACCAGGTTTCCTGAATTCCTTCCCAAAACCCAGAGGAGTCTCCAGGGCCCAAGCAAACAGCAGGGGTTCAAGGCAGCGGCAGGAGGGCAGGGTGGTTGGTGGGCAGCAGGGTCACTTGTATGGCTCTCACCTTCACTCTGCTGGCTCCCAGCGCTGCCACTGCCATAGCTGAAGCCGGGGTCCTGGTAGGCGGGCGGGAAGCAGGGTGGGGGTCCAGGGTACTGGTAGGGGTAGCCCTGGCCTAGCGGCCAGGCTGTGGCTGGGTGGGGCAGTGGGGCCAGGGTGTCCTGATCCGAGGCTCCGCTGGAGCCACTGTGAAGATTCAGGGCTGCGAGATCTGGTGAGGTGAAGCAGGTAAGAAGTGCTCAGATCCTGAGTCCCCCATCCCCCCACTTACCACTGCTCTCAGGCCTCACCCCCAACTCACCACTGCACAGGTCCCCAAAGACATAGTAGCACTGCTCAGAGAAGGTGATCTTGTTCACCGTGTGCCGCAGGAAGCCACGCCTCAGCATGCTGCCGGCGTACTTCCTGGCCTCGCGCCGCTCCCGGAAGCCCTCTATGTGCGTGTACAGCCAGTCCACCACGTCCGCCCCTGGCCACACAGCCAGTCAGGCTGGAGCTTGGAAGGCTGCTCCCCTACCCTGCCCCATCCCCGGCCAGCTGGCTGAGCAGAACTCACCGATGACAGCATTGGCAATTGTAATCTTGAGCCACATGCGGTCACGGATCTCCAGCCCCGAATCTGGCAGCTGCATGACTCGGGCAATGGCACTCATGTCGCTCTTCACTGTCAGCGGCGCTTCTTCAAGCTCTGCAAAGCACAGCCCCTCAGCTCAGGAGCAGATGGGTCCAGGCAGAGCCTGGGATCCTGAGAGGGGCTGCAGGATGGACCCCCAGGTTCGAGGAACAGGCCTCTATCTCACCCCACAGATGCCCCTTCACAGGATCACAGACCAGAATGAGCAACCCACAGACCAGAGCCAGTAAACCATCCAGGCCCCACCCCCATCTCTCCTCCCCGAAAGCTTGGGCATTAGTTGTGTTAGCAGCAGGAAAACAGAGTGGCCACATACCCCTTTCACCTCTGCCTGGCAGGCCCAAGGCTATCTGTGGGCCACATCAGCAGGCCTGGCTGTGTGAGGGCACAAGTTTGTGCACATATGTGGGTACTGGGGACAGGCTCAACACCTGTCCTAGGCAGATGACGGCCTAAGCCCAGCCTAAGGCTGGGCCAACCCATGCCCACAAGCCTTGGTTTCCCTCCAGGGGTCTCGTGAGCTGCCACTTACGTGGAGCGCCAGGCACTGAGCTGGTTAGTGAGGAGGAGCTGGAGCGCGTGATGGCACTGGAGCAGGGGCTCGTACCGTAGCGGGGCAGGGCGCCTGTCAGTGCCGCTGTGTGGGACAGCCAGGCAGCTGGGTCGATGGGCCGCACAGGGTCAGCTAGATGGCAGCAGACGACAGATAGACAGGAGAATGGGGGTGGAGCACAAGGCAGAGGAGACAGGCCTTCAGGCTGGGCCCCAGCACCCCCAGCCCACCTGCCCACAGGTCACTCACCCCTCGGGACGGTGAAGTAGCTCCGGGGGGTTGGGTCCCAGCACTTGGCCACCGTAAGGCTGATGGGCCTGTGACAGGCGTCACACAGGTGAGGCCCTTGAAGCCTGCCCTGCCCTGCACCCTTGTGCCTGTCCTCTCTGTGCCCCACATTCCGCTCCTCACTGTCTGGGAAGTGACCCCTGCCTTGTGCCCCACGGCCTCACCCTGTCTGGGACACAATCTCCCGGAGCACCCGCACAGCGTCATCATTGCTCATATTCTCAAAGTTCACATCGTTCACCTGTGGTGGGGGACAGGGGTCAGGGCTGGTGGCAGCGGGGGGCACATCTGGTCCCCAGCCCCCACAGCCCGCACCTGCAGCAGCATGTCACCCGGCTCGATGCGGCCGTCAGCGGCCACAGCCCCACCCTTCATGATGGAACCGATGTAGATGCCACCATCACCCCGGTCGTTGCTCTGGCCCACGATGCTGATGCCCAGGAAGTGGTGCCTCTCTGCAGGAACAGCTGTGAGCAGGCCCTGCCCCGCCCTGCCCCACCTGCCACCCCCAGCCTCCAAGGCCTCACCCATGTTGAGTGTGACAGTGATGATGTTCAGAGACATGGTGGAGTCGGTGATGCTGCTGAAGGAGGAGGCCTGTGGAGGGGCCCAGTGAGACACTGCCAACCACCATGCACCCCATCACCTCCACAGGCCCTGCTTCCTACCCGGTCTGTCTGCCGTAGGCGCTGCTTCCGGCGCCGACGCTTGTGCTTCCGGATGAGCCGAGAGGAGGTGCTCTGCTCTGTGGAACTGCTCAACCTGGGGCAGGTCAGGGACAGAGGTCAGGGTCCAGGATCTGCCCCTGTACCTGCAAGCTTACTGCACATGGGACATGGGCCCCTGCCCGCACCGGCTCGTGTTATCTTCCTCATCCGAGTCGATGAAGCTGCTGGACTCCAGTTCGCTGCTCAGCACAGTGGACGCACTATCCGGGGGCAGCCCCAGGTCCCGCCGCCGGTCGCCCCTTGGGTGCCCATTGGCGCGGGTGGCTGTGGGCCAGCAGGTGGGAGCTGACATGCCTGTGCAGCCTCTGGCTCCTGCTGGTCCAGCAGCTGGCAGCAGACCCTAGGGCCGCAGGGGGCACCAGGGCTGAGCCCTCTAACCAGGGACCTCAGGGTACTGGCAGGGACTTGGGACCCACCATGGGGCACCCAGGGAGGCTTGGGGCCCAGGGCAGGCCAGGTACAGCCACAGTACCCTCCTCACGGTTCCGGCGCCGGACTCTCTCCCGCCGGTGACTGACCATGGACTCTGTGCCGGTCTCATTGTCCATCCCATCGCGGCTGCTGGCCACATTTGGGCTGTGCAAATGAAGGGGTAGGATGGAGAGGCTGGGCAGCCAGTCCCTCAAAAGACTCAGCCCTTGTCCCCCAGAGGGACCTCAGGGGACACCCGGAAGCTCAGCCCACAGGGTCCTTACTGGAAGGAAGGCGGCCGGGAGTCCCCGATGCCACCTGTCCGCTCGAGGGCTGGGGGCAGGTCAGTGTGGCTGTCGGTGCCCTGGGACCCTGCGTCTGAGTGAGCACCCTCGGCCAGGACCAGCTGTGGAGGGAGAGTGAGGGCTCGCACACCCAACTTGCCTGGTGCCCTGCCCTACCCTTGCCTGGCCTGCCAGAGCCCAGTACCATGCCCACCACCTCCCTGGGAAGGGCCTCCACCCATGGCAGATGCCAGGGCCCAGCTAAACATGTCGGGTGCACATAGGACTCACCCAGGAGACCACTCGGCCATTGAAGCAGGGCAGCTTGGCATTGTCATCAAAGATCTCCTCCTTTACCACCCTGTAGACAGGTGGGTGTGAGACCACACCATGGGAGCTGGGCGCCCAGCATAATTTGTGGCACTCCATCCACTACATTCTCTTCTTAGGGCCCTTTCCACCCTGTACTGTCCCTTCAGCACTTGGGACAGTGGCTGTGGACAGTTCATGCAGGGCCAGCCTAAGGCTCCTGTCCACCTCCAGCCTGGGATAGGGTTGGGGGACAGACAGAGGGAAGGGTGCCTGGGAATGACGCTAGCACTGCAGCATCCTCACTGGCCTTGTCCACACATGTGCCCCCAGCTCCACATCCCAAGCCTTTCTCCTAGGGACCCTGACAGCTACCCACTAAGCTCTCCCCATGGCTAGGCAGCCTCCCTGTCTCAGATCCAGTATTCCCCTTTGGTTCTTCTGTTCTTCATCCTAAATGCACACCTATCACCTGGGCCCCATTTTCCAGCCCTTTCCAGAACAACCCTCCTGCTTCCCGACAGCCTGCAGACTTGCAGCTGCCTCCTGAAGGAACAGGTCTGATGCTCCTCACACTACCCCCAAGTCCCCACTTTCATCCTTTGTCTCTGTGAGCACCTATGGGGCCCTGGCCCTTTGGAGACCCCCACACTTGGTAGCCCTGGCATTCTATGTGCTTCTCACCTACTCACCTATGCCTTCGACTAGGCTCAACTCTCAGATAGCCATGGGCTCTGCCACCTGAGGACCAGGGCAGCTGGGGACAGAGCTGGCCAGGCCCCGGTTGTAGCCACTGGCCAGCATCCGTGCCTGCCCGTCTTCCCGCTTCCCCTGGGGCAAGGACATAGGGGACTCAAGGAAGGTGCCAAGGATCAGGGAAAGAAACTGGGAAGGAGGCCAGATGACCTGGGGTCAGAGTTCAAAGGGGCAAGGGCAGCAACCAGCACAGCTCAGGGTGGGTGGTAAGCAGGAGCTGGGACCCCAACGCCCCACCCATTGGCACTCAGCCCTGCCAAGCACTGCGGGATTTTCCATGCCTGGGACTTGTGCCAGATGAGAAACAGAAGCTGGGAGACTGTGCTGGGCCTGGACATGCACCTGGCAGGAAGCAGCCTCCTGGCCTGATGGGCCCATTGCCAGAAGCAGGGCCATCAGCCCCAGGACACCTTGACTCGCCCTGTCCAGGGTGGCAGTAGGTGGTCTAAGTGCAGCTGGCACCCCATACCATCCAAGGAGTGAGGCCCCAGTCCAGACACTTGCCAAGAAGCCCCAAGCCTAGGGCAGAACAGACAGCAGAGATGGGGCCAGCCTGGGAAGGAGGATGCATCCTGCCCAGCCTTCTACAGTTCTGTCACTGTTCCAGGTACCTCCCTGACCCGTCTAATGAGGTGGACACCCTAACAGGCATACAGTCGCTTCTCAGGACCCTGGCACCTGCACCTTCACCAATGACCCACAGCCCTGCACAGCCAGGCTAGCATCCCAGGAAGGTCACAACCCACACGCCAGACCTAGGCTTCCTGGGGTAGGGAGTGGTCCCTGCAGCAGCCAGTGCTCCACAGACTGCAGCAAGCTCTCCATCTCCAAGGTTCGCAGCAGTCACCCCCAGGAACCCCTTCCTCCACCCCATCACAGCCCCAGTGGGCTAGCTGATAGTCTGCCCCTGCCCCACCCAGCTGCAGTCCTGTCTGACTCACCTTGGGTGACAGGAGCCCAGCACCCACTGGCCCTGCCTCTCTCATCACCCAGGCTGGCCTTGAGCTCCACTGCCCATGCGGCCAGGGCCTCAAGATGACCAGGGCTATGGAGGTCCCTGTGCCTCCCAACTACATGGATGCTTTTCTCAGTGACCAAAGACCTTACTCTCCTGGCCCGGCCCAGCCAGCAGGACTTAAATGCTGTGCCCCAACCGCTGTGGGGCCCTAGGTGCATGAGGAGGGCAATCAGCCAGGACTGAGGGGAGGCAGCTGGCGGACCCTTCCTGCCCTAGTCAGGCAGGGTGCAGGTGCCAGAGCCCCAGTGGAGAGCAGGTGTGGTCTCCAGAATAAGCACTGTGGCCCACAGTTGCTAGCATGCTCTCAGGAACTCCAGAGTGGAGCCTCGGGGATGGAAGGGGACAGGGGCCACAGCCCACGCTCCAGACAACCCTGGCTCCAGTGTGCATGGGTTCTTAGGTGGAGGGATAGGCTCAGGAGCAGCCTCTGTGGAGTCAGGGTGGCCAGCCAGGGCCCCCGACCTCAGCACTCCTAGAGTATCCTGGTTAACCTTGAACTTGTGGCCATTGGGCTCCACCTCCCACCCCATGCCACCCCAATCCACCCCAGGGAGGAATCTACTCCAAGAGAAGGCCCTTGGAACCTAACAGGGCCTGGCCAAGAACGGTCCTGGGCTACAGAGGCCACAGTACTTAAGAGCCCCAGGGGTCCCCCTCTCTTGTACCCCCATGAGTTGGGGTCCCCGCTGCACAAGCCTTGGTGTATGCGGGGCCTCAGCCCAAGGCACCCACTGCCCAGCTCCAGCCCTAGTAACCATGCAGCAGGTGGCTGGGCCACTCTGCATCCCCTCCTGATTTGGAGTATGTACTGCATCCACCTGGGCCTCCCAGCTTGGGGGAGCAGGGGTCACAGAGACTATCTGAGCCCAGGGGGCACAGCCAGCAGCTCCCCTATGCAGTGCCCCAGGCACATGGGGCTAATAGAACATTTGTGCCCATCAGAAGGCAGCAGAGTCCAGGGCTCCCACCCCCGTCATCATCCCAACCACCTACCCTTGGGCCTGGGTCCCCCAACCATGGAGATGAGTGAATGAGCCAAACACCAAGCCCACAGGCCTGCATCAGCAACATCTCCTGGCAATGAGGATGGAAGGCCAAAACCTTCCCTCTTCTGCCTCAGACCTCACCCTGCACTGATCATCACCAGACCCAACACCAGATGCCCAGAGACTCTGCCCCAATGCCCAGGGGTCCAGGGTCAGAACAGCCATCACCTACACATGAAAAGTGGGGGACAGAGTCAGGCACTATGTACACACCTAGAATCCCAGCACTCTAAGAGGCTGAAGCAGAAAGATTGCAAGTTCAAACCCAGCCTGGGCAACTTAGCAAAACCCTGTCTCAAAATGAAAATAAGAAAAGGGCTGGGGATGATTAGTGTGAAGTCCCAGGTTCAGTGCCCAGTACTACGAAGAAAAATGGGGAGCAGGAGGGAGAATTTCATAAAGGCAGAGCAGGGGCCAGCCAGCTGTTGTTTAGACAAGGCAGCAGAGGTGTAGGGAACCCAGAGCTGGCCCACAGCAGTCTGGGGGTGGAAGCAGGACGCTAAGATTCACAAGGGCATACTGCACAGCCTCCAGTCAGAGGCCACTGTCCCTGCTCAGCCAAGACCTGATTCTCTTCCCCCAGTGTCAAGCTACATTCATTTGGGGTCCAAAGCAAGATCCCAGCTTAGTTTTCTTTTACACTAAAGTGTGAATGACTGATCAACCCCTCTCATAAGCACTTATTTCATTAAATAAAAAGTTTATAGACTAAATAGAGCTTAGAGTTTACAGAGAGAATTTAAGGGAAGGAAGAAGAAAGCAGATGATGGAGTCCTTTCCCAGCTCCTACGGTCACCAGGCCATCAGCCAGAGGGCCAGGGGGGAAGCAAGGTGAGGCCCTGTCCTGTTGCTCACCTCAGCTGCCCTCTGCCTCCTAGCTCTACTGCATACCAGAGGTCCCCAACTTGTGCTTAAGCCCTCTGCTGGCTCCCACACCACACCTCACCATTCCCAAGCCTGCACAGGTCCCCAAAGGCCATCTCCTGTGTCACAGCCCTGAGTGCCCACCCCTCTCCAGCCAGAGTATGACAGTCCCCCAGATCTGCCTAGCAATAGCTCTTCTGGGGCCCAGGTGTAGACAGCCCCCCTTACAGATATCATGAGGAGAGGGCAGGCAAGACACAGTCCAGAGCATGGGGCAGGCAGCAACCTGGGGGTGGCACTCTCCTTGGCACAGGCTCACCAATGCCAGGAGTCTGGGATGAAGAGCATTTGTGACTTTGGTGATTCCTGTCAAAAAAATAAACTGAAATTCCAGGTACTCTTCCACACACTTCCTGTGCAAGGCCAGGGACACAAGGCCAATAGAAATGAAGGGACCACATGAGGCCCAGCAGGAAGGCAGGCAGAGCAGACCCCAAAGCCATCCCTGGGCCGAGATTGCCAACAGGAGCACCCAGCCCTGAGGAGGACTGCCCAGGACATGACTGACTCTGCTCCTCCTTGGACAGGATCTGCCCACCTGACCTCTGGCCCCAAGCACAGAGTGGCCCAAGCTTGACTAGACTAGACCCAGGCTGCCCAGGACTGTGGAACTACAGAATCCAGGAAACGGGAGACCAACGTCAAAGTCCCAAGACAGGGCCACACACAAGGACACTGCTTGCCCGAGGACACCCCTAACACCTGCTGTGTACTGCTGAGCTGGGGACTCTGGTTACTGGTGGCTGTGACCCCGGTCAGGCCTCTAGTGGATGGCCCAGCTACTGCTCCTTGTCCCTCAGCACAAGTGAGAAGTTCCTCCTTCCAGCCTGGAGGCTGACCTGAGTCAGCAGGTGGCAGGAGCCTCAGGGCAGGGGGTGGAGCGAAACTCCAGGATCCATATGACCCCTGACCTCTGCCCTGTCATGGGAACCCTGGAGGAGGGGGCCTGAAGGAGTCTCTCTAGAGACTCCAGAAACTTCTGCAAGCCCCCCAGGTAGACTGCTGTCCCTGTGCCACCCCACGTCCAGTACCACCAAGGGATCCAGTGAATACTGGGACATGTGCACCCCATGATACTCTCCTGACCCAGGCCGGCCTGAGCCCCGGAACTGCCACCACCAAGGAAGGAACGCAGCAGGCCCTGAGCCAGACAGGCCAAGGTGGGACCTCAGCTCGGTTGGCCTGGGGTTCGCCTGCTGCCGGACTTGCGGGTGGCAAGCTGGGTCTCGGTCTAGGGCGGGTGCGACACTGACCAGGGCCGCCCGACCCACACGGACCCACCCCAGGTGACAGGTGCTGCTTGCCCGGCCGCCGCGTGGCCACTGACCCGAAGTCCTGGTCCATGGACTTGAAGAAGAATTTGTAGGCGTGCACGGGCCGGTTGCTGAGCACGTTCTTGAAGTCGGCCAGCGTGACGCGCTCGGGGGCCACCGGCAGCTTGACCAGGTACGGCGTCTCCTCTTCGTCCATGTGGTAGATGATCTTGGTCTCCGCCATGGCGAGCGGAGCCGCCGCGTGGCCACTGACCCGAAGTCCTGGTCCATGGACTTGAAGAAGAATTTGTAGGCGTGCACGGGCCGGTTGCTGAGCACGTTCTTGAAGTCGGCCAGCGTGACGCGCTCGGGGGCCACCGGCAGCTTGACCAGGTACGGCGTCTCCTCTTCGTCCATGTGGTAGATGATCTTGGTCTCCGCCATGGCGAGCGGAGAGG